TGTTGGTAAAGGGAGGGAGAGGGGACATGCATGTGGTATTGCAGGGGGTATATGGAAACCTCTCCCTTCCTCCCAATTTTGCTGTCAGCCTAAAACTTTTCTAAAAAAAATAAGGACTTTAAAAAATGAAACTTAGAAAATGTGGTTAAGAATGTGAAAAAAAAAGAAGGAAAGAAAAATCTCCCTTAGGCCTTCCCATTGTTTTAGGGTTGAGTCTAAACTCCATAATGACACAAAAGGCCCTGCTTTCTTCTCCAGTTTAATTCCTAAACTTGCCATCCCACATCCTGGATGACTGGCCATATTGGATTTCTTCCACTTCCACATCTATACCATATGATCTTACATATCTGGGCCTTTGCATGTGCTATTTCTTTCCATGAAAACATCCCTTACAAGCAACCCTACTGCCCTTCACCTGAGTCTTTGTCTGGGTCTCAACTTAGATGTCTTTCCATCCAGAAAAACTTTTGTGATCTGCTTCCTCTATCATTTCCACCCCATCCCACCTTTCACTCTTCCTCTGTGCTTCTGTAATGCCTTGATCTTCACATATCATAGTATCTCTTGAATCCCTCAGTGGTTTTAATTTACATTTCCGTAATTATTAGTGATGTTGAACATCTTTTCATGAGCTTCTCATCCACATATCTTCTTTGGTGAGGTGTCTGTTTAATTATTTTGCTCATTTTAAAAATTGAGTTGTGTGTCTTTTGAGTTTTGAGTGTTCTTTATATATTCTGGATTCAAGTCCTTTATCAAATATTTTCTCCCATTCCGTGATTTGTCATTTCATTCTCTTAACAATGTTTTCAAAGAGCATAAGTTCTTACTGTTGGTAAAGTCTAATTTATCAGTTTTTTTCATATGGATAGTGCATTTGGTATCAGACTTTAGAAATCTTTGCCTTACCAAAAATCACAAAGGTTTTCTCCTGCTTTCCTTTATGAATTTCACAGTATTAGGTTTTACATTTAAGTCTATCTATTCCAAGCTGATATTTCTGTATGATGTGAGGTATGGATTGCATATGGATATCCAATTGTTTCAACACCATTTGTTTAAAAGACTAC